CCAAGAAGAGTGTGCTCTTCTGAGGCCATTAGAGGCAATAATTCTGGATTCAGGTCCTTCAGGTCTTTTGTCTCCTAGAAATAAACAGTTTTTAAAAATCAATAAAGGGGACAGAAATCTGATAGTCCATTAGATGATAAAAATGTCAGGTTTTCCCACAGGTTCATGACATACAGAGGGTTGGTAGAGATGGTAGCCACCACCCACCACACACAGTAATTATAGGATATAAAAGTCATTGTTATTGGATAAGTCCGTGAAATGGTGAAGAGCAAGGGCTGAGATCTGGGGAGCAGGGGGTTCCAATCTGGTGCCATTTTGTATCCATTGAGTCTCTGACTCTTGGGAAACAGGCTTACAGAGGTGCGTCTCCCACTGGGGCTGGTTATGAATCTCTGCCCGGTTCTTGTTCCTAAGGTGATTCTCTCCTTCACAGTAGGTGACACAACAGCGGCAGGTGGCAGAGGACTTCCCTCGGTGCTTGGACATTGTGCCTGGGGCCGGAGGGCTACCTGCAACCCTCTCTGAGCTCTGAAGTTCTGGGGGCTCTTTCAAACGACTTCTCCTCCTTTGAACGTGGTCCAGACTGATGTCAGACTGGGAAGAGCAGCTCTCATTCCAGCCGGAACTGGCACTCAGACTTCTCAGTGGAAGAGCCAACCGCAAAGCTTTCCAGAATTTAGAGCCAGAATGTTTGGACTTTTCTCCCTTCCAGCTCACAAAAGACACAGACTCCTTGAGCTGAAGAATGCCTGGGTGTGGGTGCTCAAGGGGACGGTACTCAACCACAATGAGCTTGGTGGCAATGGAGTTCTGGCACATGACACCCAGTTTAAACTCCAGCATGCTGATGCTCTTTTCTGTCACATAGTCAGGACTCAGGACAACAATCATCCTTCTGCTTCTCTGAATGAAATCAAAAACTGCTTCCACTGTATCTATAGAAAAACGGAAATACAGGATAATGTATAGTGAAAACTTACATATATTTCAGTTCGTTATTGTCCATCTTCTGGAGGACAGGCAGTGAACAAACACCTGAGACAACAGAATCTCAGTGCTGAATAATTTACCCAGTCAAAAAATTCTACACCACTCTTACCAATGGTTGCTAAGAATTTACTACCTTCAAGGATAGTATGGTAGTTGAGCTCAGTCTCTCTCTCCTACTGCAAAACCCTCATTGCAGTAGTCTCCTTCTTGAATGTCTTTCTTAAAAGACACACACACACATACACACATGTGCACGCATGTACACACACACACACACACACACGGTGGGCAATTAAGTAACTACTGTCAAAATATTAACCACCCTCAAAAGCAAGTCATTTCAGCTCTGTTTACAAATTATTTCTTGTTTTGACATCTTCTTCCTTGCAAATTTTATCTGGTGGTCAGATCTTGAATCTTTAAATGTTTAAAATATTTGACAACTATTTTTATACCATTGTAGTATTTTCTTCTTATGTCTAGATTAAATATTTTCAGAATATTTCTCTTATTCCATAAATGGCATGGTCTTACATTTCCTCTGCATGTTTACCATTTCCCTCTGGATAATGTTCAGTTTATAGATGTGTCTCCTAAGAGTAGTATTATGAACAGGAGTGAACATAATGCTCCTGACATAGTCTGATCAGCAAAGAGCAACAGGAATTATCACCTCCTAAGATTCTCAGTTACACCCTTTGATACTTAACATTTTTGGACACAACATCAGACAGTTCATAGTGGTTCATAGTATTTATCTTGTTATCAATTAAATTCTTTCTCTCTGTCTGTGTGTGTGTGTGTGAAGAATTGGAATTAAAGGGGCAAAAACAATGACAATGGGTAAGAATTTGTCAAGCAGCTAAGACTTCTGGCAAACCATTCAATTCTAATGTTATCAAGGTGGATTTGGACAGATTCCAAGGGAAAGTTCTTCAAATAAATGTAATGCTTAACTCACTATGAGATTCAGGAGCTTAGAACATGCCATATCCTGAAAGAAAAAAATTCAAAATTGAATTGTAAATCCTAGCCATTTATAACTTTGAAAACATGTGCCAGAGTCACACTGTGAGGGTGAACACCTCTGCTTTTGGTCCAGGGATGAAACAGTAATGGAGAGATTTTCAGCCTTTGAAGACAGACTGAAAGTTTGCATTGGTCATTGTGAACTTGACAGGGAATAAGGGAGCTGTGCATCTTGCAGATTATTGGTTTTTTGTTTGTTTGTGTTTCAATCAGTGGATTTAACATGAATTTGAAGGGAAATTGGAGAGACATGTGCTCAAGTTTTGAGAACTTTTGATTGGTTTAACCAAGAGTGCAAAAATGTTTTTAGAGACATTTTGTTTCATTCATTCTTAAGAGATAAATAAAAATTCTCACTTATCATTAAAATCCTTCTGTGTGTATGAGTGTGTGCACATGTGCATGTGTTTTAGTAACTCTTCAGACCCCTCTAGTCCTACTGAGAATCTTATGAGGCTGCCTCTCATAAATCAGAGAATACGAAAGTGGGACGTCTACTGCTTCTCCCGGCTCCTGAGAAATGTGAAATAACCTTAAGGCAACATGGTTAGCTTGTCAACAAAGAGAATTCATGCAAATGTGTGTGTGCGTGTGATGTGATGTTTCACTTCAAAATAGTCACCTTAGGAAAATGTATGTTTTTGCCAATAGGAATATTGTTGTTTAAAATACAACACTGTTCCAGATCTTCTTAAAACATGTCTTTTGAGTCTGTTGCTCTTTTTTCTTTCATTGGTACTCCATCCAGAAAGTAAGAAAATTTAGATTTGAAAAAGGACAATGCTAAATGCAGATAAGAGTGGTGGAATTTTAGACAATGAGGAACAAATGTAGAAGATGCTTCTCAGAAAGGTCTTGGGCTATACGGAAGGATCTTCACTTGATACTGTAAAGGAAGTTGCATACTTTATGGCATATTTTAAAAATACCTTCCATATTGTCAAAACTTCATATTTGAAGATAGGAGCTATTATTTTTTAATGCTAAAGTTTACTTGGAGAAGGAGTAGTAATTTAGCCCGTTTATTCTATTTGGCTCAAAAAATGAGGTATGGCCATATAATAATGAGATCAGTTTTCTTTTGTGGTACCAAATTGGCTTTGAAGTCATGTTGTATGACTGAGAACTCTTCAATACTCAAGAATGCTCTTGCCTGTAAAAGTCATAATTTCCATGGAGTTCACTTAGAAGAAAACTACGACTGTAATTTTTTTTTCTCCTCTGGATGAGTTATTAGTAGATAAAAGAACAGCAAACTTCTGTCTCTTTCATTTTCTCTCTTAAAACTTGAAGTCTAGAAAAAAGGAAATATTTAACTTGGAAACTGGATGTGCTTTCAAATATTGCTTTCTCCATTTATCTCTATTTTTATCTTAATATCTTTTGAGTCCTAGTTCATCCATCTATAAAATGCATATGATACACTTGTAGGACTGATAAACAAATTAGATGCCTACATGTAAATTTCTAGCACACAGTACACATTGCATAAATCACAGAGAAATAACATAGACTAGTTGCTAAATGCATCTCTCATACCATTTTGTGCATTTACTTGCATTAGAGAGCTAGTGACATCAGTATATAATGGAAAAAAATATCTTGAGAGTTTAAGGAAGGTTAATCACAGCCAGGTAGATCATATGCAAAATGCTGAAGTTCAATCTTCCAAAGAGTCACCAGTATGTTCTAATAGGTCACTTAACATTTCAGGGTTGGAAACAATTTCAGATTCAAAACCACTTATCCAATGCAAAAAACTCATATACAAAATCTCAATGAAAATCTATCAAATAACTGCTTGTATACCTCTGGTAATGGCAGACCTGTATTTCCAAAGATAGTGAATTCCATCAGTGTCGAATTCTGCTTTATAGCTATTTTCTAACTGAGAAGAAATCTGTTTCCTTGGAACTTTGATCTGTTGATCCTAAGCCTACACTTTCGGGACTGGTTTGCAAGAGGAAAATTAATTCTTCAGTAGAAAAATTTTTACTAAGCTAACCAATTCTGAGTATGTTATGGGGCTCAGTAAAATGAACAAATAGGATTTTTTTTTTCCTGAAGTCTCGCTTTGTCACCAGGCTGCAGTACAGTGGTGCAATCTCAGCTCACTGCAATCTCCGCCTCCGAGGTTCAAGTGATTCCCCTGCCTTAGCCTCCCGAGTAGCTGGGACTACAGGCGCACACCATAATGCCTGGTTAATTTTTTTGTATTTTAGTACAGACAGGGTTTCACCATGTTGACCAGGATGGTCTCGATCTCCTGATCTTTTGATCCATCCGCCTCTGCCTCCCAAAGTGCTGAGATTACAGCGTGAGCCAATGCGCCCGGCCAGGGATTTTTTTAAAAGCAAAAAGGCATTCCTATCACTATGGACTTGTATTATTAACTGAAAATAAAATATGTTTCCAAATATTCATCACTGATTTATTCAAAATTTGTGACAGAAATGCATCTTTGATTCAAATGATCATCAATTAATTGAAGTCATGACATTATTTTTATTTTATCTATTTCCAAAGCAACTACCATGGGATTGCATTAAAGCCTATCAGACGAAAAAGATTCCTGTAAGCTACCTAAGTTCCAAGTTGAGTAAAAAGGAAGAAGCTTGTTTTCCTTTGTTTTAAAATAATCTTTCTCTCCTTTTTCTCTGTCTCTCCGTATCTCTCCGTCTTTCTGACGGTCTTTCTGTCTCTCTGCACATGCACATACACATACACATACACACATAAACACATATATACCCACAAAATATGTCCTAGTATTCTGGAGCAATTCATTTTACTTAAGTAACTTTTACTTACATGTAAAGAAAATGTTCTTGATATGAAGTTCCCATTTTGCTCAGATTTATCTCAGAATGAAATTTAACTAATGTGACTCAGATTTCTTTGTGAGTATAATAATCAATTCTTTCTGTTTTCATTTATGACCAAATGTGAAAATAAAGACATAAAACACATGCACAAAATAAAATTCAAAGCTGAAAATAAATGGTTTATTTTTAACATAAGTAAATTTACAAATCAAATGAAAAATGAAAAATACAAAAGTTCATGAATGAAATAAAAAAGACACTCTCAAAATATTAAAACCTATGGAAAGAAAATAAGTAATTAACGAATGATGTTTTTGTTTCCCAATACAATGGAGTGATTTTTTTATTAGAATCCTTGGGAATCATCTAAGTTACAATACAGAAGAGAATTAAACAAATGTTGTATGATTTTGTAATTAGATACTCTACATATCACAGTTCTTTGTTAACCTGGGCATGGAAGGTCCTTATAGCATCTATTGAAAACTATTAAGTTTTTTTTAAAAAATGTGAGACATGGTTTGTTCTTGTTCTCTAAATTACAAGTATGTTTCCCCATTTCCCTCAAATGTTCTCTATTGGCCATCTTCTGGAACATTAAAAAAAATCTTGAAACAAATTCTCTTGCAATGATACATATCACTTAAACTTGATATGCTTTATATTACAGCATTTGTAAAATTAAGTACCAAAGGCAGGAATATAAATAGAAAACACATCAAGGCATTTCTAGAGGTGCCCAACAGCATTTGGGATAAATATGGAAACCAAAAGTGCAAAAGGAATGCAGCATTGGCAAGAGAATCGTCCTTTGGTGACTAGACTATTCCCTGTTTGCCTAAAGCTTATGTAAGAATTGATATTCAAAGCTGATCTGGAATAAGCTCTTTTCTGGTCTAGTAAGTGAAGGGTTAATAGAGGGAGTAATTATGGTTTCTAATAAGGAAAAATATTAATAAGGCTAAAAAAAGTAGATCCAAGAATGACCTACTTTTCTACTTTTTTCATCCAAGTGAAACTTTTTTCAATTTAAAATAATCAATAACACTTATATAGGGAAATGATTTATTACGAACTTCAATAGTGATGAAGGGCACTTAAATATAGGATATAATTTTACATTCGTTCATCAACATTCATGCTACTGGGATAAGGGCTTTCTTAAATTATGAATTATTGTGTTTCACAGGATACCAAGACTCATTTACAGTTATATTTGTTTCCTCTATCACTCAACAGTTCAAATAGTTGAGCACTGAGATGAACATAGCTTAGTTTCTAAATGTGTCTGCTGGGAATGGAGTAGGAAATCAATTAATGCCCGATGGCCGGCTACTGCTTAGCAGTGACCATGGAGGCTCTGTGCACAGCAAATTCCACTGCAACCCAGAAAAACTGTAGCAATAGTTAAGTTATTCATATAAACTTAGGGAAGGCAAGAACTATGACAACTACCACTCTGTGAGCTGTGAATTAACAAATAATATGTACAGAAAACACTGACACCAAAACATTGTAGTGAAAACATAATTTAAAAACTGGACAAGAGTTCCAGTGGCTTTTAATATTGTACCCATAGCTATTTAAAGTCATATACATACACATACACACATACACACACACAAATTATATATATGTATATATATATTTCATGTGCATGTGGATTTATATACACAGATATATGTAATGTATGTGTGTGGATATGCATATATATATAATTTGTGTTTGTAGAGATATAAGATATATATCTCATATACACATGTGTGTATATATATGTATAATCTACATGTAACATAGATATTTACCACTCTGTAAACTCTGCACTTAGTTTTCCAAGTCTTAAAAACAGCAAAATATGACTGAAAACAAACAAAACAACTTTCATTGACAGTGGCTTTTCATACTGACTTATTTGGAGCAAGCATATTTCCTGCACTAGTGAGTAGATGACAGGATATACAGTTAATTCTCCTAGAATATTAATGCCAAAAGTGACTCTCAAGGTCACTAAGTCTGACCTCCACACTTCACAATGGAGCAACAAAAACAAATGAGAAAAAACTGCTTTCCCAGTATTCACATTAGCAAGATTAAGACTGAAAAGACAAATTGCCAAACATCCTTTTCTGTGTTCTTTCCATGAGTCAGAAAAATGCCCTAAGAGAGTTTTTCTGTCACCTCCCTCTCTATAGCACCATTAAGGGTTTTCTTTCAGACTCAACCAAGTGTGAAGCCACCTGCAAACTCTAAAGGACCAATGCGATATAAGCAGATAGGGAGAAGGAATGAAAAATGTGGGTTGACCTGCAGATAATCAGGAATTGACTGGAGCAAAAACAAGAATTAAGAAATATTTTTCAAGTTCACATATATTACACAAATGACCTGAGATGAGGGCAAGGGTGGTATAGAAGACAAGTCCTTTAAATCAATTAAAAGAAACATTTTCAGTTACACTGCTTTGTATCATCCTAAGTGGATGTCAGTCTTGCTGTGGTTATGTATTACACAGCCGAATGAGGAAAAAAGTTCATTATCCTCAGCTCAAATGCAGGCCTTGATTATCTTTTCAACGGACGAGTAAAAATAAGATAAAAAGGAAACTATACTCGGAAACGCATGACCCTGTCAACAGTGACTTATTTTAAAGGCATATTTAAATTCATAGGAAAGGCTGCTCCATATGTTAGGATTTTAAAAAGAATAGAGACATAAAAACAGGGATAGACAATGTAGAAGGGGAAAGTCGCATTGAACAAGTCTTTGCCTGCAAAGAACACAGTGGCATCACAGACTGGTGACAGAACGTTGATAATATCATTCTAAACTTTAGTATTGCCTGAGGAAGCGGAATAGTCAGCCACACAGTCACCCTAAATTTATCCCTAGTGGGAGGCTTAGACCATCGTTTTTGCCTAAGAAACCATAAACTGCGAAATGGGGGGACTCTTTCTTCCTGGAGTACCCCTTGTTGTTTTTACCCTTTTCATTATTCCTTTCATACATTTTTCAGAGATGAATACGAGAGGCCCTGCTCATCACTGCTAGACCGCCTGGGACTTTTCTTCACTGGCATGGCCACCTGCAGCTGCTTCCAGAACCTGCCCTGTGGATACTTGGATTTTTCCCCTTTCCATTTAATGACCGTGAGCACCGTCTTAGCCCTCTTCAGCTCTTTCACCTTCGTTTCCTTCACAGCTTTGTACTGCACTAAAATGACGTTGATGTTGCCCTGAGAGGCCATATTTTCTAGGCCAGCCTTGAGCTCCAGCAGGGCTTGGGTTCCCTGGAGCACGTAGTTGGGGCTTAGAACAACCAGGAGGCGTCTGCTTTTCTGAATGAAGCTCAAGGTCTCATCTGTGACAACTGGGAAAGAAAACAACCATGGGGATTAGTGTTGGCCAAAAACTCCCCAAAAGCATTGGGGTGTGAGGAACAAATGTAGGAAACTTAGGGTACCAGCCTAAGAACTGAGGTGAAACTTTTTACCAGCAAAAATTTGAACAACTTAATCCTTATACCTGCAAACTCTGTCCGTTAAATACCACTGTCTTCAGGGAAACCAGAAACCATATACACATATTTCTAAAAAGAATTCCAAACAGGCACGAAGCCAAAAGGTAGTGTATTGTTGTGACCTTGATCTTCAAAAGCAATACTTGAGACACAAGAAGGAGACACATTATACTGAAATCAGTTTCTTCAATGTGTGTGGCACCTTATGGTCTAGCCACATCAGCTCATGAGCCCTGTCTTCCCCAAAGAAACCCATGCATAAACTCTCTAGAACCAAATGGACATTCAAAAAGATATATGTTATATAATCAAAACAACAGAATTTTATTTTTTGCTAGAACAAGACAACAAAGGGAAGGACCTTCATCTTCTGAAAGTCCCTCTCTATTGTTGGATACCTCTCTGACTCTTCATATCACTGTCTTTGGAATAGAAGCTTAAAAAAATCTAGCCAACTGAATGACATTTTGGCTGGTAACACATCTTCAGGTTGGCTTTCTACTTTTTTCTGCTCTGGAGCCTAAATTAATCGCTGGATCTTTCTCCTCAAACTCCTATCATTACTATAAAGCCTTGTGTTTCGGCAGCTGCTAGATGATGTGTCTACTTGCACTAACAGGCAAATGCTTTCTTCAAGGAAAAAATAAGAAAAAGCAGGAAAAATGGAAATGCAATGTAATTTTATTCTGCTGTCAAGGGCCCTGATTAGTTCCTGTCACTAAATTCTCGGAACCAATCCATCTCCTCACAGCTGCTTATCCAGGATTGCATAGTCCTTTACCTGCATTTCAGATGGTTGCCAACTCTAGGTAACTTACTAGTATTGTGGAAACTTATATCATGTCTTGGTATATTCCCTCATGAAGTCATTTTGCCCCTTAATCTTCTCAGGCTCAGAAACAGTAGGGAAAGTCTTGCAATTAAAATCTAGCATGCACTGCCTGGAGGAGAATCCAGGAATGATTGTGTGTTCCAAGCAGTGGCACTGGAGGCTGAGCATGTGTAAGCATGGGAAGAGACCCAGAGTCAAAGAAGATTAGGTAAGAGCAGCAGGGAGAATAAAAAAGGGTGCAAAAGTGAATTAACAAAAGCAAGATTTAGAGTAATTATGTAGAATGTGAATTCTTTAAAGAATTATCAACCCCTATTGGATGGTCTTACCCAGTTCCATGGTAGATAAGAATTTATTGAATGGCTGTATGAACAAACAAATGGGTGAATGAGTGATTGGGGAAATTAAGCATTAGAATGAGTGGAATTTATCCTCTAACTGTATAATTAAGTCATAACTTCCTAGAAAAATTATACTGAAAGAGATGTCTTATGATGGACTTTTGGATGATGACTGGGAAGATAAAATAACTGATCCAACTAAATCGAAATGAGAATAAAATTTCAAGTCTATCTCAATTATCCATAAAATATTTTTAAAAAACTGTTAAATGATGAATGTGAACAGGATTTTAGAGGAATAAAATAGGTTTGTCAAGCTTACGATTAGATATACTACAAGCAATTCAACAGGACAAAGTTTAACAGTGGGGTTGGGAATGTAACATACATTTATTAAAAAGACACCAATGAAAAATTACTGTGTGTGTTACTGTGTGGATCTAAAAAGGAGTTGTACTTTTATTTTAACACATTCAAGAATTTAAGCATTTCTTTTTTTCTTTTTTTAAACCTTCTAGTTACACTGGCTCTTATAAAATTTTAAAGTAACCCTCAAATGTATAAGTTGACAGGAAGAAGAAACAGACCCAAGGAAAAGGGGAATTTGAGTAGCACTATTTTGCTTGAAAAGAAAAGTGATGGGGAAAAAAAAGAGCAAATGCCATAGGAAAATACTGTAATTATTATCAGTGAATCACATATGGAAAAATTCGACACACACTCTTCTGCTACTCAGTTTTAGTAAAACCAAGTAAACCTCTGTCTTTCCAAAAACAAAACAAATCGAAACAATTCTAGACAAACCACTGCAAATTAGCCTAAACTGAAAAATCTGAATGTGAATAAACAGGCTGTTTAAAGCTACGGCCCTTTAATAGAGCTCTAATTCACTGTGCCTCCACACTTTTCTGACATGCAGCTCTGAAAGATTACAAGGGAAAATATTTTAATACCATAAACTGAGTTGAATAGTATACATCTTCCAGTGTAGTTTTATTTCTAGAGGAGTCTGTTACATCAAAGAGCATCGGACATTAAATATCCAAAGATGCTGTGCCACGACTCTCGCCCATAATGCAAAACTAATGATTCTCTCTGCCTTTCAAGGTAGCATCATTTGTACTCATCTGAAATACCTACTTCCCCCAGGCAGACTGTCTCGGTCAAAGATGCATAGCTTGTATCCAAATTCATTCTCCAAAACTCCACGGAGGGTCAGTAATACAAATTCTTCTTCTTCAGCATTCCTTGCATAGGATACATAAATATCATACTCTTTCCCATCTAGCAAAAGGAACACAGATACAATGCAAATTAGGAAAGTTTCTTAATACCATTACATTTTTTTCTTAAGTCTAACTTCTGCATATTAGACATTTTCATTATGAGACAGATTCCAGTGCGATTTTCTACTTGCAACAAGTCTCCAGGCAAAACGACTATTTGAAGGTATAATTTTGAATGTTATCTGATATATCCTCAACTCTCATCTTACAGGTTGCTTTATAGTGGAAAAAGAGTGAGGTTTGTCCCATTCAACTGTAAATTAACAAAGCCCGAAGGTAAATCATAGGGACTGGCAATTAATACTGTACAGAAAATTTCAACTTCCCGTCCAAGCATATTACTCATTAATACATTAAAATTACAAATTGAGCAAAACTTTGTGAAACTGCCTGAATTATTTATATCTGAAAAGAACTAAAATTAAAAATATAATTAGATTTAATGGACCGATCGTTCACAAAGTTGCTTAATTAGAAAAATCACGTCTCATTAAAAGCTATCGATTCTGTGTTTCTTCCATAAGCCTACTGAATTCAAATCTTTATGGTGTGGACCTACGAATTTGTATGTTTAAATGCTCTATTCTTTTCACTAGGCAAATTTGCACTAGAGCCGTGCTTTTTAAATGTCAACGTACACATGAATCACTTGGGAATATGGTTTAAATGTAGATTCTGAGTCAGTAGCGGCTAGGTCTAAGATTCTTCTTCTACTCAGCTACACATGATGTTGCTGCTGGTTCACAGATCGCTGTCTGAGTACAAGGAGTGTGGATCAGCACTGTCCAATACAGCAGCCGTGAGCCACGAGTCTATTGCTCACCGAAATGTGGCTGGTTTGAATTGAGATGTGCTATGAGGATACAGTAGAATACATTTTACATTTGGAACATTTTTAGTACCAAAAAAAGACTGTAAAATATCTCATTAACTTTTTAATATTAATTGCATGCTAAAAAATAGTATTACAAACATATTTAGTCAATTCATTATTTTTACGTGTTTCTTTTTACTTTTACACATGTGGTCACTGGGAAATTTTAAGAAGATAAGTGGCTCGCATTATATTTCTATTTGGACACTGTTAATTTAGAGCAACTCACTAATTAATCCAAGAAAACAGAATAATAATCTTTGGAAAGATTTTTAATAGCAAGGGCTGAAATTAAAGTTAGCCTGCTTAAATCTTCCAGTTAATTTAGGTTTTTCAAATCAATATGTTTTCTTTTTTTTTCCCCAACATATTTTCTAAAGATGACAGTACAAGAGGTTTATGTCATATTTCTGTTACTTACCTAAAATGGTTTCATCTGTTCCAAAATGAGCCCGGTAAAAAAGGACCATCTCCAGCCAGTAAACATGGTAAACAACAATGAGAATCACCACTAGCAGGACTGTGGCTCCAAAACCACAAGCCAGTTCCACTGTGTATCTTGGAGCCGGCACTGGAACGAACAACAAAGAAACAGAATTGATTTCTGTGTGGTGACCACAGTGACCCATCATCCCGGCAAATGGCTGGATAAGCCCAGCAGCTTAGCTATGCGCCTGCCTATGTATGAACAATCAGAGACATCATTGTAGAGTTTAAGCACTATTTTAAAATACCAGACTGTGTTCTACCTATCTTTTTGTTTCCAGCACCTGGCACAGAAAGTGTTTTGTATTTGAATAGCCTTTGATGATCTATAAATGAAAATAGAACCGTAACATCAGGAAGGGCTTAGAAGGTCATCTAATTCAAGTCACAATTTGACACCTAAATCTCCTTAAAAATAGTTTTGAAAATTATCACCCCATCCTCTGTCCGTGTCTTGGGATGGAGTTCTCGTTGCTACCTGAAGAAGTCCGTGGCATTGGTAGAATTTTAATTGCTGATGCAGCTGATTTGAGTAAAAACCTTAATGTTTTTCCATTGGTTTTCGTTTCCTTCTCTTGTCTCGTGTAGTATGAAAGGAACTTAATTATCTTTCCTTTCCACTTGGAAATAGGCCTCAAAAACATTATTTTCACTGTGCAGAAGCAGAGGATATCCACCAAATGCTGGATATGCTTGGTTCTGGAAGTGATCTCCCACGCTCACAGTTCTTCAGTACATACTCTAGAGATGAACTTGCAATATCTGGTGATACACAGACTTCCGCATTTATCTACTTATTTTTTATATTATAGGCACCTCTGCAGTTTCTTTGGAAGTATCAGAAATAGAGTGAGGTAATTCTCAATTACTTAAAAACCAGATCTTAACTCATTAGCCCTACAATCAAGGTCTGTCGCAACCAAATTACTAACCACCTTCCTTCCTTTCTTATTTACCATTGCTTTTTCATCAAAAACATCAGGAAGATTTAATATGATGCCTTTTTCTCATGCTGTGACTTCTGGCTGGAAGTCCTTTCTCTTTTTAGTTTCCAAGTCCATGTTCGAATGTCATTATTTTACATAAGCTTTAATAGAATAAAATTTTTATTGCAACCTGGCTCTCCCTTGTAGAAATTCTTACTCTTCCCTTTGTTTATCATTTGATTACAACATTACTTATTATGTTGTAATTTGTCTACAGGCCAGCTTCTTCACTCCCTCTCATTCCCCATAAACTATACCTTTACAGTCTTTCAGGTAGAGATTATGTCTTTTTCATCCATGATATCCCTAGAATGCCTACTATCTCAATGCACATTTCCAGATATAAGATTTTACACTTCTAGGGTATTTAGAAGCCTATTACTAAATTATGTTTCACAATTTTGTTTAGTTGATTTCTTAGCTTGTGATAATGAAGTTTAAGTATCTGAAGGAGGAACAGTGTATTTACTGGATCTGAAGCAGGAGTGACTTAAATTGTGTATTAGTCAATTTGATTATTATTTATTGACATCTACCATTTGCCAGAAACTTCTGGGGATCCAACGGTAAATAAGACGGAAAGGGTCTCTGCCCTTTTGTGGCTAATATTCTAATTCAGGGCAGTAAATATGTAAAGAAATAAATCAGCTGGTTAATTTTAAATAGCGATTAGTGCTATAAGAGAAACAAATCATGGTAATGTGATAGAGATAATTGAAGGGTGGGACTGGAGCAAGGGAGGTGTGCTGTATAACACGGTGAGGGAAGGCTTCTGTAAGCACCTAGAACACTGTAGATGTTAAATGTTTGCTGAGACACAGCTTAGAAGAATCTCATTCAAAGCTGGGATTGCTATAGAGGCTCCCTGACTCCAAAGTGCAGGGATCTTTGAACACCATCACGATGAAGCTCAATTATTGATCATACAACAGTTGTAATAAAATCACATTTATGAACCTTGACAGCTTGTTTGGAGGTTCTAGCAGGGGAGCACAGCTACCCTTACACCCTTGACCAAAGACCAGTCCCCTTCTATTGTGGATGGTCGTCCTCTTCTACTGAGGGCACAGCTTCGCGAAGGAGTCACGTGGAGCAGTGAGAGAGGAAGGGGACACCGGCCTCGCGAGCCAGATCAGCTGAATCTACCCTGGTGATTAATGGGGTGACAGATGTTACAGCCAGATCAGCCTCACATCTATGAAATCATTTTTTAAAAAGGTACCTCTTCAAAGCAGAAAATGGTAAGCAGCCTGGAGCTGAAACTGAAGTTCTCTTATTAAAGGGCAAATCACAGAGTTTTGATTTTATTACCCTAAACTGAGGATATTAATCCTGCCACAGGTATAGCATGGGACTAAGGAGTGCAAAATTATTATCAGGTACTCTTGTACTCCTTCCATGAATAATGGCACCTTAAAATACGAAAACTCCATCATAAATTCCAGAAGCTATGATAGTGCAGTTGCTGAAAATTTACTAAGATCTATTTGGATAGCTGGCATGAAAATCACTGTGTCCTTGGTATTTCTCAGTACTTTATGTTAACAGTACAATAGGGTAATTTCCACTGTTATTTTCATTATTTGTTCAGTTATTTTGGCTCCCTCTGGATGAACATTTTGTAATGGGGGTGGAGGTTGTTGTTGGCTGCACTTACCTGAAATAGATTTTTTTAAAATGCCAGTAAGAGAGCTTGCTTAATGACCGAGAGATCAATTACCCTCATAAATTTCCCTCTGCCCCATTCGTTTTACTACTGCCCATTTTATTTCTAATGGGGCATTTTAATTCTGTTTTGTGTCATACAGTCATGTGTCATATTTACAGATTGTATTTTGTAGAGCTATCTTGATAACAAGGAGTCACTAATGCTACTTAACATATCGAACTCTTAAATAATCTACTAGCTGGATTTTCTAAATAGCTTAAGTCACATGCAAGAAGTTCTCTACAGGGCTTTCAGGTAAAGCAGTGCTGGCTTACAGGGAAAGAGTGACCCTTAGACTATATTTGCTGACTGCCTAGCTGGACCCTCAGGTGTTTTGACAAAAAGATTTCGCTCAGATGCAATCCCAGATTAAAGAATTTCCTATCAGAAAGACGTGATGCAATATGACCAAACTGGACTCCTAAGCTCCCTCTCTCATTGATTTTACTAACAATCTGATTCAGGATGTAGCCAAATTTAGCTACTTGATTGTTGTTACTTCTTGAATCGGAATTTTTTCCATCATTTTTGGAGTTCCATGTAAATAACTGGCTTCAAAGCCCAAATTTCCAAGTAACCACCTTGGTTAGCTCTTGGTGTTTTCCCTGTTTTGAGTTCTTGCTCTACGATCATGTTTCTTCTAGGAAATCTGAATGATTTTCGTCATCTTTATCATTGCAGTTGGAGCCTTGCTGTCCACTGCATGTTCCAACTAAATGCCAGTTGCTTGCACTTCCAAGTGTCCCCTGCCACAGAACCCATGGCTAGTCCGTGCTAAATTGTTGGGACTGATGGATAATTTTTGGAACTGTGGTAATGGCCATTCCCCTGAGTTGTAAACAAAGGGAATGCTTTATTAAAATTATGATAAACCAGAGACCTATGACTAAACTGACTAGCAGATGTTACTGATTTGGCTATTATAGTGTGTTAAAACGTGCACTTTGGACTTCAGCTTCTGTTCTTAGAGGAGTAACTAGTACTGAGTACTGGACTAGCCTTCCTTTCATATCTAAAATACAGTTTGTAAAAAAGTTGGACAACTGGTAACAAAGGAACGTGATCTGTGAGAGAAAAAGACAAAAAAAGGTAAAGCCCACGATCACTCTGGCTTTTTTTTTTTTTTTTTTGAGATGGAGTCTTGCTCTGTCACCCAGGCTGGAGTGCAGTGGCGCAATCTCGGCTCACTGCAAGCTCCACCTCCCGGGTTCACGCCATTCTCCTGCCTCAG